CTAAACATGTTCAAAGCACGGCCTTCATTGGCTTCAGTTGCAGTTGGGAATCCTCAGTGCTTCCTCTTCCACTCAGTCCCAGATGAGATGGAACATGCAATTAATGGCCACCTAAGAAAGCTTTGGTTATAAGTGACTTGCCTTGGATGATATATAAGAAGTCTCTAGCAGAGTGGAATTTTTCATTCTTTCTTTTAATATAGCCATCACACCAAGAAATAGGTCACCAAGTGACATGATGCATTTGATGTGGATCAGACATTTTAAAAGAAATTGTTTTCAAGAGAGATCATTTAAAAAAAAAAGTTTCCTTCTATAATTTATTCCGAATGTTCCCTTTCCATTGACTAGAGATGATTACTTCTAGGTGGAAAATGACTTTCTATTAGAAAAACAATAATACAAGAAAGTTTGGTGTAAAGGAGAAAAAAAGCTGGCAAAAGAATCCACCATGTTTCTCCGCTAAGACTGAGGGAAAGGAAAATCCCTTAGGCCAAAACATAATGCCAGTCCATCTAACTGCAATAGTTTAATTACTAATAAATACTACAATTACTGTGAAAGTCAGCACTAATTTAACCAAGACTGTTGGCTTTACTGTGTAACTAGCACTGCTTGGCAGTGCAGAGCCTGCCAATAACTGCATTTCTTAAGGAAATTAATGCAGATTTTTTTTTTCCTCTAACGAGTTCCCTTTATTTTTCCTGCCGTGCCATTTCCCTTTTGAAAGGCACGGCAGGATTCTCCCTTATCAAGACTTGGACTGAACAAATCGTGGAGATGTGAAAAGTGCTCAGTTCAGGAGTGAACGTGCATTAACCTTCTCGCAAAATGTAGCTTTCCCCCCTGAAGACCTGAGCAAGGATTTGGCTTTGGGAATTATTCTTGCCTTGCTGTCTTCACTCCAGCTTTAACAAAGCTTGAACAATGGCTAGTCTCTGTATCAGTAGGACTCTCGGTATTTGAATTGCTTCCAAAAAAAATCCCTGTCCTGGGCTGCTTCTCCGTGCAAGGGGTTGGCATTCACAGTCCAAAATCTCCCCTCCATTTCACCTGTGTCCTCATGGTAAAGGGCACTTTAAAGTCCCTCTGACAGTGAATGAGCCCTAGTTAAATATTTCAAGAACTTCTTTACATGGCTTCCTCTGATGCATATACTGTTGGGACATCTGTCTTCTCTACTAATAAAGTAGTCTAGATTTAAAATGAACTTCATTGGATTGCTTTGAAACTATAGGCACATATGGCTCATAATTAGCTGGATATCTCTTATAGTTAAATGATTTTTTCCCCTCCCCTCTCTCTCTTTCTCTCGCCCATTCGCATCCATAATAGACGCAAACAAAGTTCCAATTGTTCCCTGTTGCGGGACATTATGTGCCTGAATAAATGGATGTTGGCTGTGTCTACATGGATTTGCCATATGGCTACAAAGGCCAGAAGAATAGGGGCAGTGTGCTTTGTGATGGGAATAAGAAGAAGGCAGTGCCAAGCTGGGTGGAGCAGGGAAGGCTGAAGGAGAAGCAGGGCTACACACCTTCCAAATGATACCCTGGGTGTGGGGTGGCAGAAATAAAGATCCTCCTCAAATAAAAAAGCCGCCCTAACATCCCCTCTCATACCTGCTCTTGCACTCTCCCATACTATTGCTCTCGTGCCCGCTTGCTTGCTTGTGCTCTTGTGCTTGCTTGCTCACTCTTATGCTTGCACTCACTCGTTTTCGCTCTTGCTATTGCACTTGCTCGCTCTTACATGCTGGCTTGCTCTCGTGCTCGCTGGCCCGCTCTCTTGCTCGCTCACTTTTGCGCGTGCTTGCTCGCTCTCTTGCACCTTTCTCCCAAAAAGAAGAGCAAGTCATTGAAAGCGAGGAACTCTTCCAGACTTTAGTGTTTATCAAATGGGGGTGGGAGGTGAGGGGAAGGGCTGATGGGAGCTGGGCAGGCTCTGGGGTTCCCGGGGTGAATCTTTCACTGCAGACGGTCCCATTATGAGTCAGGGGCCCAGACAATGCGAGTCCCAAAGGCACCTGCTTCCATGAAAGCAAGAGAAAAGCCCGTAAATCCTGGAGGACTCAGCTGCCTCCCTCCCTCTCTCTCGGCATTGTCGGCTTCCCTAAGAAAGGGAAAGGCTATTTCTCTGCCCCCCCAGCCCCCTCCTCTTCCAAAACAAGATCGTTTTGAGTCGGCGCCCACTGAGCCGCGGGGCAGGAAATCCTGCGGCTCCGCTGAAGCGGCGGGATCGCGCGGTGGGGATCAAGGCTGCTCCGATGGGCAGGGGCAGCTTCAAGGCACTTTTAAACCGCGGCAGTGCAGAGAGAAGGGGGGGCCTGGGGGAAGTCCTGCGAGGAGGCCGGGGGTGTTTGAGGGGAAGGGGGCAGAGGGACCCTCGGCTCGCGGCCGCTCTCTCCGGCTCGCCTTCAGCGCAAC